CACATCAGAGACCTGCTTGTTACACATCGCTGTTACATCCTGTGAGTGTTCCCAGTTGGATGCCTTTCTGCCAGGCTGTTTGTGAAGTTTCAACTTTGACAAGTTCTGTTTTCTGCAACTGGACTTTGTGTGATCGCTGCCGCCACACCATGCTGCAGTGTTGTCTGTGGTCCCCCTGCAGATAGTCTTTCCCCATTACTGCCTTACTATGCCTTGTTCTGCACTGTGTCTCTGTGTACAGGTGGCCATCTAGGTAGAGGAGCAAGGCTTTGCTTCCTCATGCCAGAGCTGAGCCCCCCCAATAAGTCTTGTGATTGGTGGTGAAATGATTAAGAAGAAGTAGGGTAGGTGGAGGAAGCACAAATCTATAGAATGAATGCAGCAGAAGCAGGGAGATCCCTGCTATGCCGGTCCTCAGGTAAAGCTTCCTCTCCAGCAAGGAGAACACAGAACATTATTGTAGTGACATAACCAGATTGCATTTTAAACCTAAGGAGACTAACAGTTAGGGACAGCGGTTACATCAGGGCCGGATCTAGCCTGTCTGATGTGGGGGGTGCAGTAAAAAAATGTCAGGGGGGCAGAGGATGGGAAATCAGTAGGGCAGAAGACAGGGGTCACTGCTGTCAGGGCAGAGGACAGAGGTCACTGCTGTCAGGGAAGAGGACAGGGGTCACTGCTGTCAGGGCAAAGGACAGGTGTCACTGCTGGCAGGGCAGACTTCAGGGGTCATTGATGGCAAAGCAGAGGACAGGGGTCAATGCTAGCAGGGCAGAGAACAGGGGTCATTGTTGGCTGGGCAGAGGACAGGGGTCACCATTGGCAGGGCAGAAGACAGGGGTCACTGCTGGCAGGACAGAGGTCACTGCTGGCTGGGCAGAGCACAGGAGTCACTGCTGGCAGGGCAGAGGACAGAGGTCACTGCTGGCAGGGCAGAGGACAGGAGTCACTGCTGGCAGAGCAGAGGACAGTGGTCACTGCTAGCAGGGCAGAGGACAGGGGTCACCACTGGCAGGAAGAGGACAGGGGTCACCGCTGGCAGGGCAGAGGATGGGGTCACTCTTCGCCGTGCGCGTGCACGTGTGTGTGCGCAATTGCGCATTTCCACGCGCATGCGCACAACCGACCACTCTTCTCCAGCCGTTTCTATGCGCATTTCTATTCATGATTCGTCTCACCGGCAATCCCTTACAAGTGTGCACCTTCCTAAATACAGGTCTAGGACTAAAAGTTATCTAGGGGGGGCAGATGCCAAGGTGGCAAGGTGAATGTCATCATGCAGCACCCCCGTTATCATGTTTGGTTGGAATGTACCCTTCAAGTAATTACTTTAATAGTATGATGGATGGCTAAAACAGTGACTCATGAACATGCATTAAGAAAGCAAATAGCGCCAGCCATGGAATGAAGCGAATTCCCAAAGCTGGAACCGATTAATACATATCACTCGTGCTCCATGGACATTTGTCATGATGAAGCTGAAACATTGTCCAATGTTGTGACAGAAGAATGAGGAATCGGTAGACAGTCGGTCCGAGTTTGCAAGCCTCTACAATAAAGTATTCTCATTATTAAAATAGCTTTGTTGGGAAGCGAGAGGCTAGCCCTGTCTCCATGGCGACCCTGATTGAAACTGCAGCAAATGTTTTAATTTCGAGTGTTGATTTGGATGAAATCCCAGGAATAATCAACAGGAGATTAGAAACATTAAAACACAGCAGGGAATTTTAATGTTGCAGGAAAATGGGCGCCAAAACAGTATCAGATACAATTAAACCTCAAACCCAGTTATAAAGGTATGGGAGCCAATGGCTGTATGGCACTATGTACTAATTGGTTTAACGGCCCTTGCACATCCTGCCTGCACAGCTGAAAAGTTCTTTTTCCAGATGATAGCCACAAAGATTGCGATGTCTGCGTTACAGTAATGAAACTGTAAGATACAGGCAACTAGTTCAGGGTTGATATCCTCTGAAAAACCTCTCGTTATCTGTAGCAGTCTCCTGGATGCGGTAGGCATGCTCTGATGGTCAGGAGACCTCAGGAACTTACGTTTCAGATAACAGAGATTGAACGTGGTCTTAGCCCAACATGGGCCGTCAGATCAGCCAGTGCTTGTAACCACACCGGACGAAATACCATTAAAGGTCCAGTTCTAGTCCATTCACATTGTTTTCAATCTCAAGCCTCGATGAAGTGGGCATGTTTGGACCCACGAAACGTGTTGACTACAAGCCAAGGAAAGCATGGCTAGGGTCAAGTGTAGCATCTGTTCTTACTGCTCCTCTGTCCTGTCTTGGAGCTGTCATGTTCTTATCATATTGCATGTAAAGGATTCCAATAAAGGATTTCATCCACCACATTGCTGTTTGTGCGGCCAACCATTCTGTTTTTCCATAGTATCTGTTCTTATCGGTGTCTTGTAGGCGTGCTATGCCGTCATTCTGACACTTTGGTAGGGTTGCCTGGCCATAAGTATCTCCAGTACTGGGACAGGGTCGTCCAGCGCCCAGGGCAAGGATCCAGAATTGTGCTCCCCTACCCCACGGTTAATGCATGCCATAGAATTAGTGTGCCACCCTGATTCTATTATTTGCCTCTTGCTTCTCTGTCCCTCCTGCCCACCCCTTGTCCCAGCCCTGAGTATCCCTGCTGGTATGATGGTCCTTCCCAATAGGCGAGGAATCTGAATGTGGGTGCACCACATAAGGTGGGGGTCAATAGTACTCCCTTGGCATGGAGGGTTCCAAGGGATCCAGTGCCTCCTGATTTGAGTCGTGCTGCCTGATCTCGACATGGGCTAGGAAGGCAGAGAACAGTGCCTGTGTCTCCTGAGAGCTAGTCATCCCATGGGTGCTCTTAGCAGCACTATAGGTCTGGGAAACCCACTGTGTAAATGAGCACAAGGTCACGTCACTTCTTATTTTCTCTGCACTGCACCTCTGGGGCTAGGCCTTTTGGTCCAAACCAGGGCAAATTTTGTTACCAGGTCTCAAGCCCTAGCCAATGCACTGGTATTGGCACTTATTTATTTCAAAAATGTTTCTTCCCACGAGTTTGTGGGTCCTCAGGCCTTCCCTAAAGTCTATGGGGAGGTTGTGTGGCCATTAGGGTCATTCCTGAACTGTGTGGTGGGGGGGTCTCTCTTCAGGAGAGCACCTCAACCTAGTACTCAGTGGTCAACTTCCCTTGACCATTGGCTAGGTGGACCAAGTGTGAGCCTTGCCCGTCAGGAGCCTTACCTTCATGAATTGTAAAAAAAAACCTTCTGTATGTAGCAGCCCCCCTGCCCCCCTACCACTTACCTGAGTCCCATCCCGATCCAAAGGATGTCCATGAGAGCCTCGGTTCTCCCAGGACTCTCACTCCTGATTGGCTGAGGCAGCAGCAGTGGTAGCCATTGGCTCCCATTGCTGCTAATCACAGCCAGTGAGCCACTCAGGAGAGGGAGGGGCAGGCTCGAGCCATGGCTCTGTGTCTGAATGGACATGCAGAGCCGCAGCTCAGGAGCGCACCTGCTTGGGTGCCCCTATAGCAAGCTGCTTGCTCTGAGGGCATCAAACAGGAGAGAGGGTCCAGGAGTGCTGCTGGGGACCCAAGAAGAGAAGGATCGGAGCTGCTCTGTGCAAAACCATTGCACAGACCTCCAGGGAGGTATAAGATGTTTGTTATTTTAAAAAAAATAAGACTTTAGTGCACTTTTAAGTGCACTTTTTTGTGTCCATTTTTCACATGCACTTTTTTCACTTAATTGGTGTTTTTTTGTGCACCACCACGGGTTAAAAAAAAAACCATGGAGATCCACTGGGGTATAGAAGCTGAAATCAGCATGATGGAACACTTTGCATAGTATACTACCTTTAGAAAAAGATATCTATCTTTACCATGAAAGGGCTAGTTGGATGTGTTTGGCCCCCAAGCAAAGGCTCCCAGTCCTCCCTGCTAGTCCTACCTCAGGGTCATGGATCACAAACAGGTCCAGCAGACTTTACGACAAGTAGAGTAGAGTCAGCAACAGGGTAAATCCAAGAACAATAAAGGAGATGCACCCATGAGCTAGACAATGCTACCATAGAAGATCCAAAAAGAGGAACGAGCTGCCCTTGAAAAGGAGGTCTAACCTGTTCGGATGTTTACCACTGATGTGAGGGTTTGCTACACCCCTACAAATACATACATACACAAAGCGCATCTGAATCTGGGGATTGCTGGCACATGCATCTTAACATTTAACTCCCACGGCTTTAAGTACCATCTCTATGCTGATAACACACAAATCTATCTTTCTAATCTTCACCTCACCCCTTCAGTCTCCTCTTCACCCCTTCAGTCTCCTCCACACCTCGCCCCTTCAGTCTCCTCCATACCTCACCCCTTCAGTCTCCTCCTCCTCACCTCACCCCTTCAGTCTCCTCCTCACTTCACCCCTTCAGTCTCCTCCTCACCTCACCCCTTCAGTCTCCTCCACACCTCACCCCTTCAGTCTCCTCCACACCTCACCCCTTCAGTCTCCTCCTCACCTCACCCCTTCAGTCTCCTCCTCACCTCGCCCCTTCAGTCTCCTCCTCACATCACCCCTTCAGTCTCCTCCACACCTCGCCCCTTCAGTCTCCTCCTCACTTCACCCCTTCAGTCTCCTCCTCACCTCGCCCCTTCAGTCTCCTCCTCACATCACCCCTTCAGTCTCCTCCACACCTCACCCCTTCATTCCTCCTCCTCAGCTCACCCCTTCAGTCTCCTCCACACCTCGCCCCTTCAGTCTCCTCCTCACCTCACCCCTTTAGTCTCCTCCTCACATCACCCCTTCAGTCTCCTCTCGCATTACTAACCTACTAAGTGACATATCGGCATGGATATCACTCCACTTCCTCAAACTCAATCTTTCCAAAACTGAGCTCTTACTATTCCCTCCAACCTGTGCCCCCTCCCCTGACTTCTCCATCAAGATCAATAATAGAACCATCAGTCCCTCCCCTCATGCCAGGGTACTAGGTGTAATCCTAGACTCCCATCCGTCCTTTCAGCCCCAAATCCAATCTTGTAGACTTCACCTCCGCAACATCTCCAAGATACGCCCATTCTTAACCACCGAAACCACTAAGCAACTTATTCACTCCCTTGTTATCTCTCGCCTTGACTATTGTAACTCCCTCCCCATTGGCCGACCTCATTGCAGTCTATCCCCTCTTCAGTCTATCATGAATGCTGCTGCCAGACTCATCCACCTAACTAACCGTTCCATATCTGCCACCCCTCTCTGCCAATCCCTCCACTGGCCTCCATTCAGTGTCCTCCATCCCTCAATGTCAATCCCTCCACTGGTCTCCATTCAGTGTATTCCACCCCTCTCTGCCAATCCCTCCACTGGCCTCCATTCACTGTCCTCCTCCATCCCTCTCTGCCAATCCCTCCACTGGCCTCCACTCAGTGTCCTCCATCCCTCTCTGCCAATCCCTCCTCTGGCCTCCACTCAGTGTCCTCCACCCTCTCTGCCAATCCCTCCTCTAGCCTCCACTCAGTGTCCTCCATCCCTCTCTGCAAATCCCTCCACTGGCCTCTATTCAGTGTCCTCCATCCCTCTCTGACAATCCCTTCACTGGCCTCCACTCAGTGTCCTCCACCCCTCTCTGCCAATCCCTCCACCGGCCTCCACTCAGTGTCCTCCACCCCTCTCTGCCAATCCCTCCACTGGCTTCCCATTGCCCAAAGAATAAAATTCAAAACATTAACAATCACATATAAAACCATTTATAACTCCGCCCCAAATTACATCACCAATCTTGTCTCCAAATATCACCCAAACTGTCCTCTCAGCTCTTCCCACGACCTCCTACTCTCTAGCTCCTTTGTCTCCTCCTCCCATGCTCGTCTCCAGGACTTCTCCAGAGCCTCCCCCATCCTCTGGAACTCTCTACATCAATCTATCAGACTATCGCCTACTCTGCCTACTTTTAGGCAATCTCTGATAACCTCTCTCTTCAGGGAAGCCTATCCTGCCCTCAGCTAATAATGAAATCTTCTATTCCTCCTACCAGTCCATCCCCCACAGTTATTACCTTTTGTACCACCAGCCCCTCCCTCTTAGATTGTAAGCTCCAAGGAGCAGGGCCCTCCTAACTCTCTTGTATTGAACTGAACTGTAGGGGACAACATGGGAGGAAGTAGCAGAACCTGATGACCAGCAAGAGGAAGATCAGAGGAGGTAACATCAGAGAAAATAGATAGGTAATTCAAGCAGAAGCCAATTACAATGGTCATAACCGCTGATCACGTGGCTTCCAGTCAAATCCAGACCAGAACCAGTCTACTATATGTTCTTGTGTTGAATAAAGATTCAGTGCATGACTATTCCACCAGAGATAGGCTTGTCCACTTCCCCATTACCACCATTACTGTTCCGCACCAACCCCCTTCCCCTTAACCAATTATACTTACAAAAGACATGACACCAATTTTGGAGTAAATGGCCAACATGGCCTTTTATTAACAACTCAAGTTACAATACACCAACCATTCCTTATAACAGAAACCCAAAGAATTGTTGTTGGTCTTCGAAGGCACCCCCAAACAATCCGAAATGCACCTGCGGACAACCATATACACTAGGCCTCCAGTCGTAACCAACCAGCTCGGAGACAACCATACCGTCCGCAGTGCAGCACCACCACCTTCCAGTTAAACCTTGGTTAACTGGGAATGTCCCGGGCATCCCATACCACCGATGGGTCCCACACCATTGTTTGTTTACCTTCCAAGATAAGAACCGCCTCCAAAGACCAACAACCGCCCATGAACCAACATAACCCCCCCTCTTCCTGGAGGGACCCAATACTCACCCAAACAGGGAGGGTGGGAGGGAAGCTCACACTCCTGCCGTCCAGCTCAACTGACGCCCCCTCACAGAACCTCCCAGCAAAACCCCACCTACACCAACCTCTACCAATCAGCTACCCCCCACTATCAATATCAAACCCCCTGGAGCTAACCTTAACCCTTTCTGCTCCTCCTTCCCCCACTCTGGGCCTAGTCATGTATGCCCTGCGCTATTTCTTCTTTATTTTCGCTACGGGCATTTCTTTTCTAAAGGTGCAAAGGATGCTACAAACACACTTTTATCTGGGATACCAACAACTGACAGGCACTCCCGTTCTTTTACTACAATTTCAGACTTTTACCCCAAAAGCCCTCCCTGAGCTCATCAAAGATCAGAGAGCTGCCTTGGAGTAAATCATGAATTTCAACTTTACTGCCCTCCCAGATGGAGGTCCACATCTTGGCCATTTCATCCTTCCATTTGATTTGCTTAAAGGAATGAGCCGCCTTTCATATTTTTTGGCCTTTCTGTCTTGTCTTTGCTGGGTGTCCTTGCCTAGACTGCTCAGGGGTTTTCATCGATTCCCAACAACCCTTCGTACTGGAGAACGTGAAAATGGTTTTGAGTAAGAAAGATGCAATGCCAAGCTGAAAAGTTAAAGACTTCATTTCCTGCTGAAAACACATTTTGTAATTCCCTTGTCACCTCATCATCATACTGAAGTTCTACGGCTAATAAAGCTGCACAAAGCCAAATCACCCATTGCCACCCCCCTCCCCCCCAACAAACAGAACATATTTAAATAACTCTCTGAAGACAGACAAAAATAAACGCGGAGAATACTGTTTTCATGTCTTGCGTCACAAACAGCCAATCCAGAGAAAGCGACAAATGAAGTCTTCAGCCAGTGATATGGGGACCCTCAGAGAGCAGTAATCCACTTGAGGCACATCGCCACTTCTCTTCAGTTTGGTACAATTTGAGATCACCAGAACACCTGGAATTTAGGACCCTGGGGAGGAGCTCTGACCCCAGGGCCTCACAGCGGCAATCTTTGCTGGGGCTCCCCAAGCTCCTGCAACTAGGAACCAAGGTCCCAAGTCATTCAAGGCAGCATCTGTGGACGTGAAGATCATCATCCATACCAGGGATTCTCAACCAGTGTTCCTCCAGAGGTTGCTAGGGGTTCCTTGAGCAATGAGCAATGTCTGCCTCATAGATATGTTCCTACTGACACCATTGATCTTTTAAGCTACTGTATCATTGGTGTCAGTGGGAGGAATAGTGCCCCATCATTGGTGTCAGTGTGAGGAATAGTGCCCCATCATTGGTGTCAGTGTGAGGAATAGTGCCCCATCATTGGTGTCAGTGGGAGGAATAGTGCTCCATCATTGGTGTCAGTGGGAGGAATAGTGCCCCATCATTAGTGTCAGTGGGAGGAATAGTGCCCCATCATTGGTGTCAGTGGGAGAAATAGTGCCCCATCATTGGTGTCAGTGTGAGGAATAGTGCCCCATCACTGGTGTCAGTGGGAGAAATAGTGCTCCATCATTGGTGTCAGTGTGAGGAATAGTGCTCCATCATTGGTGTCAGTGTGAGGAATAGCGCCCCATCATTGGTATCAGTGGGAGGAATAGTGCCCCATCATTGGTATCAGTGGATGGAATAGCGTCCCATCATTGGTGTCAGTGGGAGGAATAGTGACCCATCATTGGTATCAGTGGGAGGAATAGTGCCCCATCATTGGTGTCAGTGGGGAGGAATAGTGCCCAATCATTGGTGTCAGTGGGAGGAATAGTGCCCCATCATTGGTATCAGTGGGAGGAATAGTGCCCCATCATTGGTATCAGTGGGAGGAATAGTGCCCCATCATTGGTGTCAGTGGGAGGAATAGTGCCCCATCATTGGTGTCAGTGGGAGGAATAGTGCCCCATCATTGGTGTCAGTGGGAGGAATAGTGTCCCATCATTGGTGTCAGAGGGAGGAATAGTGTCCCAATTGCCAGATAAAGGGTAACAAAGGGCCATATCTGGCCTTCGGGCTGCAGTTTGGAGACCCCTGCACTATCCCAACTTATAAAATTCAAACTACTAACCACAACATACAAAGCCATCCACAACATCGCCCCCTAGCTACATCTCCAACCTCATCCGCATGTATCGTCCAAACCGTCCACTCCTAAGACGTCTTGCTCTCTAGCGGTGTAGTAGCGGTGTAGTAGCAGTGTCATAGCGGGGTAGTAGCGGTGTAGTATTGGTGTCATAGCGGGGGTAGTAGCGGTGTAGTATTGGTGTCATAGCGGGGTAGTAGCAGTGTAGTATTGGTGCCATAGCGGGGTAGTAGCAGTGTAGTATTGGTGTCATAGCGGGGTAGTAGCGGTGTAGTATTGGTGTCATAGCGGGGTAGTAGCGGTGTAGTATTGGTGTCATAGCGGGGTAGTAGCGGTGTAGTATTGGTGTCATAGCGGGGTAGTAGCGGTGTAGTATTGGTGTCATAGCGGGGTAGTAGCAGTGTAGTATTGGTGTCATAGCGGGGTAGTAGCAGTGTAGTATTGGTGTCATAGCGGGGTAGTAGCGGTGTAGTATTGGTGTCATAGCGGGGTAGTAGCGGTGTAGTATTGGTGTCATAGCGGGGTAGTAGCGGTGTAGTATTGGTGTCATAGCGGGGTAGTAGCAGTGTAGTATTGGTGTCATAGCGGGGTAGTAGCGGTGTAGTATTGGTGTCATAGTGGGGTAGTAGCGGTGTAGTATTGGTGTCATAGCGGGGTAGTAGCGGTGTAGTATTGGTGTCATAGCGGGGTAGTAGCGGTGTAGTATTGGTGTCATAGCGGGGTAGTAGCGGTGTAGTAGCAGTGTCTAACACAATGATTTCAAACTTCTAGAACACACGTGTCAAACACAAGGCCCGCAGGCCAAATAGGCCCACCAGGCCATTTCATGTGACCCTTGAACCTTTCCTGCAGCTATGGTACCCCCTTCCTCTCTGCCCCACCTTGCCTCAGCAGCTGGTAGCAGAGAGGAGGAAAGAACTCCTCCTACAGATCCTGCACCTCTCTGTGCATCCACAGCACCCCCTCGTCTCCGCCTCCCATGGTCTCGGCATCCAGCAGACTCCGGCAGCTGACTCTGGTCCTCCTCCCGGACCCTGCACTTTCTGCTTCCCAGCTCCACCCCCAGCTTCTTCCTGAAAGCAGGATAAGGTAAGGGGGGGGTGCACTGTGATGTAAGGGAGGCTGGGGGACTCTTGACTTCTGGTGGTGGGGGGGGGACTCTTGACTTTATATGGTGGGGGGGGATTCTTGACTTCTGCTGGTGGGGGGGGACTCTTGACTTCTGATGGTGGGGGGAGGACTCTTGACTTCATATGGTGGGGGGGACTCTTGACTTCTGATGGAGGGGGGGACTCTTGACTTCTGATGGTGGGGGGAACTCTTGACTTTTGATGGTGGGGGGGGCTCTTGACTTCTGATGGTGGGGGGGACTCTTGACTTCTGATGGTGGGGAGGAGGCTCTTGACTTCTGATGGTGGGGGGGCTCTTGACATCTGATGGTGGGGGGGACTCTTGACTTCTGATGGTGGGGGGGGGACTCTTGACTTCTGATGGTGGGGGGGAACTCTTGACTTTTGATGGTGGGGGGGGCTCTTGACTTCTGATGGTGGGGGGGACTCTTGACTTCTGATGGTGGGGAGGAGGCTCTTGACTTCTGATGGTGGGGGGGCTCTTGACATCTGATGGTGGGGGGGACTCTTGACTTCTGATGGTGGGGGGGACTCTTGACTTCTGATGTAAGGGGAGGGCGCTCTAGACTTCTAGTGTCAGGAACCATCACGACGCATGGGTCTACACATGCGTAGGTGTCTGCCGAGACGTATAGGTGGCAGGGCACTAGGACCCAGGCGTACCCGTCGTCTGGACAGTACTAGGCAGGCACTAGGACCCAGGCTACGCCTGTCAGGTGCAGGGCGGCCTATTTAAGCTAGCCCTGCACAGACACTTGTTGCCGAATGGTCTTTGTATCCTGTTGCCTGTGTTGTGAATACTCTGATCTGGATTGTTTTGACCTTGTTGCCTTCTCCCCTCCTGACCCCTTGGCTTGCCTGACTCTGCTCCCGGATGTTCCTGTTTAGATCTGACCTCCTGGTATTGACCCTGCGTGTGACCCGACTATCCTTTGCCTACCGTTTTGTACCTTACCGATCCGCCAGTTGCCGACCCTGCCTGCATGACTCTGATTTAGCTCATCCATCCACCCATCCCGCAGGGATCACTAGGCTCCCTTACATCAGACTCCTAGCTCTCTGGAGCCCCTGTCAGACTCCTCTACCCCTGTTGGAGATACCTGGTAGTTGTGACCTGGTACCGGAGCGCTCCAAGTCCATCCCCACCATCAGGGGCCCTGGTGAACAAGTGCTCTGGTGCTTAGACTCCGCACTCTGGGGAGGCTCTACCAGGGGACTGATAGAGGTGCTGTCAGGCGGTCCGTTACATCTAGTCTTACAGATACAACCATCTCTTTTAGGGAAACCATAATGCTGATGTAATGGAGGGAGAAGTGTCACCAGAACACCAAAGTCTTCTTCAGTACGGGTCCAAGGCAATCACATGGTTACAACAAGAGAAATGTTTTGGAGCCTCACAGGACCCCTGATGCCTGATACCCGATGAAGGGGTCCTGCGAGACTCCGAAACTTTGCTCTTGCTGTAACTATGCGATTGCTTATCAAAGCCTTGGACCCACATTGGAGAACCTTGGTGTGCTGGTGACATTTCTCCCTGGTGATGCTCCTCGGTTCCAGCCGATGGTCCCTGCAGCACCCACCTACACGTATGGCCACTCTTTGATGCAGGAACGTGTGCGTTGGGGTTCTGGAGCTGAGATGAAGTTTGACACCCCTGGTCTAGGGGGACCCCACAGCTATGGTATTTACATACCAGCATTTGAAATCCTTATTACCCCAGGAGTAGTAGAGACAGGAGTCCTCAGGAGAGGACGGCACAGGTCCAACCTTTCAATACTCTACTAAGAAGGTTGTTTACTGTCTCTATTCCCATTGGAGGGATTTTCCATCACATCCTGTCCCTCTGATCACAGGACCCCCCCCCCTCCCCATTGGTGACAGAGGGGACCGCGGTCCCGACCATTCCGAGTCCTATTCAGACCTAAAGAACGTTTGAGTGGATTTGCGGCGTTTTGTTCTTTCGTGGCGCTGATAGGAATCTCGCCGTACGATGGATGGCAGACGTTCACTCACAATGTGTCAGTTATTGTATAATGAGACACGCTCGATGCATTTTTTTCTTATGTTTTTTTGACACATTTAAAAGACTTTTGAGTACTATTGCTGCTCCATTATTGTTTAAAAGCCCCCGCCGCCATCAAGCTACAAAATCGCATTAACACTTTCCTTTCTTCCTGAAGTTCCAGAAAATTACAAGACTTTTCCTTCTCCTCAAATAGACAGGTGAGGGAACGCAAATGAAATCCAGACTTGAAAGCAACGCACGACCCGGGACACGGGGGTCTCATTCACAATGTACAGTTCCAGTGACACCGAATGTATTAAATGAGAAATCAGTTCAATTTCCCAGGAATGTCATGAAAACATCGACAGCAAACAGCTAAATACCAGATAAGATACATACACGATATTGCCCCCAGTATCGGGCCGCCAGCCTTTCCACGCACATGACCTTTTAATGGCCTCCCAGTCTCCCAGTCTTAGTCCGTAGGGTTCAATATTGAGTTGGCCCCGCCCTTTCCATGCACATGACCTTTAATGGCCCCCCAGTCTTAGTCCGTAGGGTTCAATGTTGAGTTGGCCCCGCCCTTTCCACACACATGACCTTTAATGGCCCCCCATTCTTAGTCCGTAGGGTTCAATATTGAGTTGGCCCCGCCCTTTCCACGCACATGACCTTTAATGGCCCCCCATTCTTAGTCCGTAGGGTTCAATATTGAGTTTGCCACGCCCTTTGCAGCTATAACAGCTTCAACTCTTCTGGGAAGGCCGTCCACAAGGTTTAGGAGGGTGTCTATGGGAAGGTTGGACCATTCTTCCAGAAGCACATTTGTCAGGTCATGCACTGATGTCGGGGGAGGAGGCCTGGCTCGCAGTCTCCGCTCTAATTCATCCCAAAGGTGTTCTATGGGGTTGAGGTCAGGACTCTGTGCAGGACAGTCAAGTTCCTCCACCCCAAACTGGCTCCTCCATGTCTTTATGGACCTTGCTTTGTGCACTGGTGGGCAGTCATGTTGGAACAGGAAGGGGCCATCCCCAAACTCTTCCCACAAAGTTGGGAGCATGAAATTGTCCAAAATGTTGCCTTAAGAGTTCCCTTCACTGGAACTAGGGGGCCAAGCCCAACCCCTGAAAAACAACCCCCCACCATAATCCCCCCTCCACCAAACTTTACACTCGGCACAATGCAGTCAGGCAAGTACTGTTCTCCTGGAACCGCCAAACCCAGACACGTCCGTCAGATTGCCAGACAGAGAAGCGTGATTGGTCACTCCAGAGAACGTCTCCTCTGCTCTAGAGTCCTTTACACCACGGCATCCGACGCTTTGCATTGCACTTGGTGATGGAAGGCTTGGATGCAGCTGCTCGGCCATGGAAACCCATTCCATGAAGCTCTCTACGCACTGTTGTTGGGCTCATCTGAAGGCCACACCAAGTTTGGAGGTCTTTAGCTATTGACTCTGCAGACAGTTGGCGACTTCTGCGCACTGTGCGCTTCAGCATACGCTGACCCCGCCCTGTCATGTGACGTGGCCTACTACTTGGTGGCTGAGGGGCTGTTGTTCCCAGTGGCTTCCACTTTGTTATAATCCCACTAACAGCTGAGTGTGGAATATTAAGTACCCAGGAAATGTCACGGATGGACTTATTGCC